TGGCAACACCACCTCCCGCCCTGTCAGATCTTGAAGAATGTAGGAGAGAATATCCTGGAATATTGTAAAAAGAAAAATTGGTTTTATTATTATTAAAAAAGGTTTCAGTGAAGCATATTGCAGAAAATTTATGATTTAAACAATGAATAAAGTCAGTTATTTCATTATAATGCTTAACTAAACTGCGAGAATTCATATTGTAAATACTAAAATTTGAAGAAATATTTGTGGTTTTTAAATTAAAGGTATCAATAAGATCAAAATTACATTCATTATTATTTTCGAAGAGCATACAATCAGGATTGGCAGTATTATTTAATGAGATATCAAAAGGGTCCAAGATTAGGGACTGAAGTCTATCAAAATTAACTTTATGATTGTGAAAAAAATATTTGACTTCATGGTAAAATTCACTATCATCTAAAATGTTATTGAATGGAAATAAAATACCTGTACAACTAAAACAGATCCAATAACGGTCATTGTTACAACACTGAGTGTGGGAAATATTACTACAATTCATACATTTTATGGTTTCATTTGTAGGCTTACAGCACATGTAACAACTCATTTAGAGTTTTGTTGCAATTCATAAATAAGTATATAAAAAAAAAACCAGACTACCAAAACAAAATTGAAATTCAAGTAAAGCATAATAAAAGCACAGATATTAACAGTATGATCCATATAATAATTTAATAAACAACTTCTATTCAACTAAAAATATATAATTTCTTGATAGAAAGATTAACGTTTATCTTTAGTTATAACAGATGCAAGTTCAAAATTTTTTTTTTTTAGATTCTGGAGACTGGAATTGTAGGATGAGAATCGACTCCGATGGAATCAGTATAGGCTGTTATGTGACACAAAGGTATTAATGGTCAAGCCGGCCCTAATTACTTGCAATCTAAATTTACCACCCTTTTTAAGTGAGGGACATTCATTTTGCAGAGAAGCCATTTTTTCAACCATGGTGTTGTGTCCGCCCTTTGATGGGACCGGGTAGTGGCTGTACTGGCTACCAGTATGGGCGCAGATCATGGGAAGACGGGGGACACGCCCCCACATATTTTTAAGGGGGTTTTGTTCTCACTTTTCGACCACAATGTAATTTCATAAGTAAAAAATATGCCTGAAAGGTGTTGAAGTGAAATGCATAAAAAATACCCAGCTAGGTTTTTAACGAAAGAGCGTTGTACAGCCAAAGTAGAGTACTGTACATCTTATAGCCAGTCTCTGCCCACTAACATCTGAATTATCGTCTATAATACACGACTCGAGTGCGCGTGCCTTTATTAAATTTGAGAAGTATGAGAAAAAGTATAATTTTAGTTTTCGGCACACGAAGTAGGTAAATTAAAGTAAATACATCAAAGACAATTAAGTTTTATTTTCTATGGTACAATACAGAAGGTAATTAGATCTCTATTACTGCCGAGAACCAAGAAAACCAGCCAACTTCTTACAAACAATAAAAATGAAATTTTCACCAATAGAAGGCAGCAGACAATAATTTTTTCAATTTCAAATAAACATTTATTTCTTCACACAATACAATATAATAACAAAAGGTAAATATTGAACAGTCGGATTTCATAAAAAAGGTGATGATGATGATGATGATAGGTCAACTCTTAACAGTGATGTATCTAGGACCCGGGTATTCAACCTTTTTAAAACGAAGACTGAAACCGAAGACCCCTATTTTTTCTCTTTTATTTTGATGATAATACACCTGGCTGTCACAAAATCAAAATTACGACATTTTTTGGTCGTCTGTTTGTGAAATTTTCAAGGGTCTTCGTTTTATAGACACCCTATAAAACAAAACTTCTACAAAAGGAAGAACGAAGACCTCCAATTATTTCTCAATTATCTTATTGAAAGTATTTCAAAATCATCATAAAACAGTTGCCAAGTACCTACCTGTACCACTAAGGTCATCACTGTTCACTGCATAAACCAAAAAAATTCATGAAATTTCATGATGTATCATACAGTTTATAGACAGATGATTCGCAACAGTTAGTAAAAAAATAAAAATGTAAAGAAATGGCTTTGAGCCCCCACGAAAGAGAGAGAGAAAAAAAGAAATGGCTTTAAAAAAGTTTAAACTTTTAATTTGAAAACCGAAATGATAATAATCTGTCTGCCTAAGACAGAATTTGAGTTGGTGATTGCCTTCTGAGTCTGTGTTGTATATGACAAGGGCCTTACAATGTTAGTTTAGTTTGTCATAGTTGAGATAACTGCCTCCGAAGATTAGGTAAAAATTAATACACAAGTGCACAGTGCTGAAAAACTCGCCTGTGCATAATCCATGCATGCATCACTAAATGTAATTTATACACTCCAGAAATGGAAAGACCCTAACCATGTAGGAAATTGTTTGTTCAAACAATAACTAAACTTTGGCATGTCTGATTCGTTTCAAATAAAACTCCTACTTATCAATTCTCGAAGTCACACTGTGGGGAGGCTATGCTTTTACTGTACAGCATAAGGAGCATTTCTATTGTTATATACAGGCACAAGGTAATCTGAGGGGGCGGATCCGAGGTTTATATAATATTTCTAAAGCCATACATTTCAGAAAGGTTGGGGAGGCACACAATTTGCTCACAGAAATTTCAGAAAAACAATTCAAATTCAATCATATTTACGATACCCACCCACCCACCATCCGAATGCCATTTTGACAGTGTAACTGTTATTGTGGCTTATGCAATTTTCATGGCACACAATCTATTACTGTATTAGCTGTCATGCATCATGTTGCTCCCTCATTCAGAAGATACTGTATACTGCACATACTCCAAAATTAAAATACATTATCTTTAATGTTGATCCATACATGGCGACAGAAGAAAATGTCCATGTAGAGCCACAGGAGAGGGAAGAGTGCATCATGGTCTGAATTGTTGGTTGAGGTCTCTTAGTTTTATGTGTTTAATATCATGTCTTTGAACTGTCAAGGGATACTGTTTTAATAATATCACAGGGTAGTCGGTTCCAATCTCTGCATTTCCTTGGTAGAAACGAGAACTTTTATGTGCTAGTTCTACCAAATGACTACCAAAATGCATTTTTTTTTTTTTCGATCTAACACAATTCAAGAAAACGAAGTAAAAAATTAAGATTTAAATTTAATATATTTAGTATGACCAGCCTAGTGGTACTTACATTTTACGGCATTGTTAAAATATTACTGTATCTACAAATATTCTGACACAAAATTAGCAATGTACATACTGTAATGTAAAGGTATTGTTGACTTAAACTCAATTACAAAAAAAAACCAAAGGAGAGCTTCATATTTATAGCTCTATGCTTATACATACTATACTGTGGTATTCAAATTAAAGATACATCTAAAGTATGTAGATTTTTACATAGGTTGGTGTGATGGTCTTATAAAGTGGTACCACATAGTGACATTCTTGGCTTTCCTCCTACAAGATTCTGTTGAAGTGCTGGTATTATTGGTTTAAATTTACCTGTGCATACATCTTACTAACATTTGTAATAGTTTCAATACCATACTTGACAATTCACTAGGAATGGAATCTATCAGAAATTGGTTTAAATAAATATATCTTATGAAATCCAAGAAAATAAGTAGATCTATATACAGTATTTGAAGAAATTCTTCAAAATGACTGTCAAAATTGTTTTCTTCAAAATTTTACAAACTATCCGATCTCATGTTACCAAGAAGTAAGTGGAGGTCATTTCTGATTTGCTACAGGAACAAAGCTAATATACATATCAGACACCATTGGTTGTTTTAAAGTTTACAAGTTGGGGCAAACATATCATCTATTATAAGTGGTTCAATATCCAGTTGGGTCTGAGGTCTCTGCATCACAGTGTTGCCAGCTAAGCTTGTTGGTAGACTCACAATTTTGCCATTCTCTGTTTTAAAATCTGGAGTCTTAACTGGAATGACTCCAAGACCAAGGCTGTTGTTGCCAGAATCTGACACATTAATTACTGGTTCATCTTCATCATTTGGAGTTTTGACAGATGGTTTTAATGAGCCAAAACACTCTGGTATCTTTGAGGAATTACATTTTCTCACACCATCACTCAGGTTGCCTTCTTTAAGCTCATTTGGCCTTACTGACAGTTGTGAATATGGCATGCTGTTACATGATTGTGGTGGAGATGAGCCAACTGTGTATAGGTCAACATTGTCATGGTCTATCCATGATGTGGGACTACAAACATAATCACCTGAAACATTTGGTTCATTTCTGAGGTTGTTCGCCTTTGAAGATTGAACATTTTCTTTGTTAATATTGTGTTGTTGCTTTGAGGGATTAACAAGTACCAAGGCTTGTTGAACATTGTAGCTATGGTCTGCACAGCCCGATGTATCACATGGTATGTCCCTTGATACAGAGCTGAGTGGCGAGGTTGGGTTGTTGCCTAAAAGACCATATTCAAAGCTGTCTGGTGAAGCTGGACAATCTTGAGTCGTGCTACAACTATCAACCAATGGCGTATTTAAAGTAGGTAATAAAAAGTCTTTTGTACCAATAGAGTGGTAGTCATTTGTTTGGCTTAGTTCATCAGGTTTTTGAGATGAATTATTAATGTCATCCTTGCTTGAGTCAATTGGAATTAAGCCATCATTACTCATTGTATGATATTCCACAATATACTGACTTTCCACTGAGTCTTGTCTTTTAAGCAAAATATTATCTCTTTCTGGTCCACTTGTTTCTTCAATGGCATAACTGTTGCCATATTGAATCAATGCAAGAGCAGAATCTGTTTTAACATCAGAATTTCTGTGAACATGCTGATTATTTACAACAGGGTAATATTCATTGTCAAAACAAGTCTGAACAGGTAGATCAAAAACAGCATAATCTCCTTCAAAGTCTTCTATTACACTGTCTGGGTGATTGTCATGGCTTAGAATCGATCGTCCAATGCCAAGACTTGAGGAGGGAGAAAGCACAATGGCTTTTGCAATTTTGTCGTGAATTCCAGTCATCTCCATCACTTCGGTCTCATCAAAGCCCTGATCAGAGTCCATTCTGATGCTAGTTTTTGGTACACTGTTTTCCTGCATTCTATTTAGTGGTGCAGTGTACTGGTTATTGAATGTCTTCAACTTATCAAAATGTTCTTTTTCTGGTTTTAATGGAGGACCCTGTAAGTAACAAAACCAAATCAATTATATATTTGGTATTTTTAAAACAATTTAAATATTCATTCCACACATTCACCATTTTAGGGTGGAAATGAACAATGTCATTATGAGTAATGTGTTTTTACAAATTACAAAAATCCAACCTTGTAGTTTTGTGTTCAGTATGCTTGTTTGGTCTTTACTTCAAATTCCTAAAGATTTGCTCGTGTATTCATTTTGTCAGTTAATAATCTGTTTTATTTATTTATGCAAACATTTTAGTAGAACCATAGAAAAGTATTTTTTTAATTAATTACTATCCAATCGATTAGTTTGTAGTTGATTGTACATGCTTATACAATAATTAACTATAATTCTTTTGTTATCCATTTTCTGCACAGTGTAATATTTTTATAATTAATAAATATAATTAAGAGCCTGGGATTGGAAGGCATATTAACCCTGCCTCCAACTGCAATCAATATTAAATCATATTTATCATAGTAGTTAAATTACATGATAAAGACTACACCAAGTACGAATGGTGGTGGTCATTGTCCTCTTAGAGATATTGCATTAGTTGTTTTAGTTTGAAGTTTTTGAATTATTTAAATGTTGTTCTTCATAATTGTTTTTTTACAAGCATAGAAGTATCTTTGCATCATGCACTATATGTAACTTTATTATATTATTCATTTTTATACAAAAAGGTAATTGTCTTGTATTGCCTTACCCATGGCTTAACAATGAAGTCCTCAATAAACCGTGGCTCTGGGAATGGTTTGAATATTTCAAATTTCTTCACCTTAATGACGTAGAAACATGCAACAGCCATCATCATAACAAGACCTGGGATCAACACAGCCATGATGACCACGGGAACTAAAACACAACATAAGCATGTTAATTATTAATGTTAATATCCTTTTACTTTTTAGGCTTGTATAAACAATTGTGACCACAGAACACCGGTAGGTAGTCAATGGACACTCTTTCGCTATTCCATGGTAGGGCACCAGGTCAATACAATTTATCATCTCTAGATTTTTATTTAATTAAATTTTATACCAGCCAATTTATCAGGTCTATGCAAGGAATATGGCATTATCAATGAACTCTACTGCATTCGATCCCACAAATTTTAAATGGAACAATAAAATAAAATAAAATTTCAAGATGACTATTTTTATCAAGAATGGTAAATCATACAAATATCATTGAGAAGCATATCTAGCCAATCATAGCACAGGTTCATTATTGCATGTAGCTTTTGATTTCCAGCATTTTTTGTGTGTAGCAAAACTGCTATGCACTTTTTGTGTTGTGTAGCAATTCCAAAAGTGTGTACAGCTTTTTTTTCTGTGGTGATAGTGAATGATTATTAAAGGAAAGAAATGACACATTTTTCAATAAGAAAATCAGAGTGATGTGTCTTTTTTTCCCCAACACTAAAAGTATTTAAGTAAAACAATGGTTTATGTACATGTAGGGAGCATTGTATGTGTGAACACGATGTAAACAAGCATACTGTATTGTGCCTAAAACACTGGATAATAACTTGACTGTTTTAAAAAAAAAATTCAGGACTTTTTTGTGCACCAAGCCTCTTAGTTTTTACAGCCAGGCTTTGCTGAAAACAGAGTGGTTCATTCTAGGCAAATAAATGCGTCTCATTTGTTTGTGATGCATTTGTGGAAATCCTCCGCCATTAGTGTAAAACGTGTCACATGTTGCGATGCAATACTGGGTAAATTGAACGTTGATTGCATGACAGTAAGGGCTACACAAACCATCTTAATTATATTTTATAAAAACAACACAGTATCTCAGACCCACTAATATCAACAAATTATCTATAAATTAAACAGCAAAATCTTCATATACTTGCTCGTTAGACAAATTTTAATTAATTTTATATTATTTATGAAATTCTTCAGTCGATTTTGGATTTAAAAAAAAAACTTACCAGGAAATTTCCTGCACATTTCATATCGCTTTTGAGTGGTTGCCCCAATTAATTCTTTTGATCCGTTTTTTGTAACAGCGGCAACAATGTACGTAAAGAATGTTACACCTGTCTTACAATCAACCTGAATCGTCGTACTCAAATCTTTCACAGTCCTCTTCGTCCACTTTGAACCTGTTACATTCTCTGGTCTATAACTCACGATGTAGTGTGTAATGACACCGTTTGGATGAGCTGGTTCCTTCCAGGACAGTTCCACTTTATCGGTGGCGATGAGATCAACTTCAAAAGCAACCACTGGTTCTGGAACTACAAAATTTGCAGGGTGGTACCATGAAAGTGTTAACTCTTAAATTTTCTACAAACAAGTGTTATTTGATAGATTAAATAGGTATAAATTATGTAAATGATTAATTTGGCATAAAAAATGCCTCAGAGGTTATTTTCAGACATTTAAAAAAGAAAAAATGTTGCAGGGGGCATGCCTAGGGTAAAAGTGTTGTCTTTCAACTATCCCACCCCCCCCCCCCACCACCTTTTCAGATATCTCTGGATCCTCCCTTACAGAATCTTATAAATTTAGATGTAAATAAACCATCTGTCAGTTGTATGTGTATGTCAGGGGCTAATACATACAAAACAATTATAAATAACAATTATAAGAACACAGTAATTTAATTCCTAATTATTAGCTAAATATGGCAATAAATCTTCAGTGATTGTTGATAAAACTCCATGAAAAACCTGAACAATGGTATATGCCATATGACTTTTTATTTACGGTACATTCCTTTTTAAGCCATTAAATACAGGTTATTGAAAAGAAAACTTACTTCCAACCAATGTTGTGACCAGTAGAGGGTCGGAAAAAGGACTGCAAAGATCGGGGTCTTCATTATCATTACAAGCAGACACTGTAAAGGCATATCTCTCATTGCCATAGATTCTTTTTGTCACCACTGTACTTCTTTCATACACATCTATACAATATTCAATTCCTGACAATGTACTGTAACAGACAACATATTTGGTGATGATGCCATTTGGCTTCTGAGGGTCTTTCCAGTGTATGCTGACTGAAAACGCTTCAACTTTATCTTTCACTGGGGGATCTGGTTTATCTGGAGCTAAGAGACAAAGTATATGAAATGATCAAAATGATGAACAGGCTTTGATGAGGAGTGTACAAGTTCTTTTCTGTGCACAAGAGCCTTTATCATACAAAATTAAAGTATTGTGTTATAATTAAGGCCTATCTCCAGTGGTGTATCTAGAAGTCATAAGAGACGGGGGGTGATGAGGGGCGCGAACGTGAAGTGGGGAGGGGGCTCAATGATCAGTTGAGGGGCGCTAATTCGCAAAATAATATGATCTTAGGTGATTTTTAACTACTTGAGCGTGATTTTGGGGGGGGGGCACGATTGGGGGAGCGAGTAATTTTTTTGGAAACGTGCCCCCTACTCCCCCGTAGATACACCACTGCTTATCTCTACCTGCTATATCATCACACTTTTTGAAGGCCATTACAGTAGTTGTTCATCAAGTGTAACTTACCCCCTTCATCAGTCCTGGCTGACACTCTGTGGCTTATAATCCCTTCACCAGCACTGTTGCTAGCTGACATCCAAAGTAGGTACTCAGAGAATATGTTTAAATCTGTTAGCATATATCGGTAGAATGATTCACCAGTTTCTTTTTCATCTACATCCGTAAAGTTTACGGTATCGGGATCTAACAAATGAAATGAAGCTGTCATTATGTAATTATAATAGTTAAACAATAATTAATTAAATTATAGTGAAATTAAATTGTACAATCCTTTTTTAAGGTGGTATACATAGCAATTGATGGTGGTAGCTACAGTAGGCATCAGACTGAAAACACAAACTCATACTTGCCACTGAAGCAAAATGTGTTACCACTCACATTTGCCATCACACTATAGTAAAAGGTGGTATAGAGCACAATGGTGCTCTGGTCCATGATAGGGCAATCTGCCCCTAGATTAGGTGTTTTAGCTATATTAAAATCACTTACTACCTGTAACACTTACCATCACACTGAAGTTCAGCTGATGCATTAAATTCATTGCTTGTAGATAAATATTTCTCACAATAGTATATATTATAAACTAATATTTTCCCTCGACTATCACTTCTGGCCAGCGGTATCCATGTTAGCAGTAGCTCTGTTGATCTCTTAGGTACAGTCGTCAGTGTTATATCTCGGGGAAATGAAGTTGGAGCTGAATGAAAACAAATAATCCAATTTTTCACATTACTGTAGACGAATCTCAATTCCTTTAAATAATTGATAAAAACAAGAGGATTCAAGTTCATTGCTATGCGCACTAGCCAACAGATGTTTCTCTATGCTCTGATAACTTATTTGGTTTGGTAAACAATTTTATATAAATTATTAACAATATTATTACTCACTGATGCTGCCAAGGTTTCCCAGAGACCTCCCATGAACCTAGCTCAATTTTCTAGTTCATTCATTGAATTATCATATATATATATTTATGAATTTACTTCTGAACCAAAAGAAATGCTTCAAACCTGATTCGTGTGTCAGGACCTGTGAACTATCAGACCATGCTCCTAGACCAGCAGAGTTGTTGGCTTGAACTCTGAACTCATAATGGGTATAAGGATCCAAACCACTAATAACAAAGCTATGCTTACTGCCTTCTACCTCCTCTGTACTCCTGTGAATGAGTGGAAAATGAGTGGAGTGTCAAAACTAGAAGGTCCATTGATAAACAATTTTCCAATTCCAAAACATATCATCAACCTACAAGTTAACTGTGATGGTAAACTTGTTGGATAATTCACTGACATGGATCATTTTGTTCCACTATTGAATAAGGGTCTTGCAAGCAATCTTTATACAAGAAATACACTAGATTATTAGTAGTTTCTGATAAAACTTCTGACAGAAACTGAAAACTTAACATTTAGAACCAAGGTGTGGTTTTTTTAAAGTTTGCATGCATTAAATACATACAAGTCCATTTCAATGCTTCATACCATGCTTCACATAAGACGCAAAAATGATCCAACCTTTTACATTAATTAATTTTGCCCAACACAGAAAAAAAAAAACTATAGAGCATGCTTGCAGTCAATTTTATGAATCATATTACCATTCTTGATCTTGACTTGTTTTCTTCCAGTCTATCATGTAAAAAAGAATCCTGCCATGGATCTCAACTGGTTTAGACCATTCCACAATAACTGAGCTTGCAGATAATGCGGTAGTTATAACATTAACTGGTTTTCCAGGAACTGTTAAAAAAAATAAATTATATGAAATATTACAAGTTCCAGATTAGAATAATCAGAATTAATATACAGTATGTATTATTTTCAGCCTCATTTAAGGTTTTTTCCTATAATTATTTGTTAAATAATACAATTTTACTGAAAACCGAAAGGTCCACTGATTAATCTCAGATAAGAAAGTATAATACATACTCCAAGTATTGAAATACACGCCATCGTGTTGGGAAATATTGAATCCCAACACGATGGCGTGTATTTCAATACTTGGAGTATGTATTATACTTTCTTACAATTTTACTGAGTAATTAAGTAGTAATTATGTTAATAAACTAAAATAATTACCACCGGAAAAACAATATTATCTCTTTATGTTTACTTGTAGTTTGACTTACCAAACTTCAGTTTAATTTACTACTAATCTTCTATAATCAATATGATGGTGTTGTTTATTTGAGTTTGATGTATTATTCTCAGTATCATTTCAGGTTTTTCCTATAATTATTTGTTAAATATAAGTACACTTAATTGGACATACTAAACTTTACTACTGATCTTATTAAATCAATATGATGGTTTTGTTATTTTCACCCCAGGATATATGAATAATTTGGCACAGACACCATTAACAGACAGCTAGTTGCAATGCAATGAAAAAGTGCAATATTAATAATTTTTAAATCTTATTACCTGGGATAAAAAATCTTAGAAAAAAATGAAATGGAATGATGTCGAAAATTTATTAGGTTTTGGAGATTCCCTTAATAGCAGTTGGATTTATATAGCGCTTTACACAAGTCTCAAAATGCTCAGTTACTATCTTGTACAGTAATTGTCATCTTCCCTAATGATCTCTGCGTGTCTTAGCTACCCGGTAAATTGGTGCTTGCTACTCTTGTCTGTCCACAAAAGGGGCTGTATGGACTAGAGTAGTAAACTGGGATAACCTCCTACTCATCTTGAAAGATATACTGGGTTCTAGTGCACATGAGTTTAAGGATCATTCCAGATATGTTTACTACAGTCATATCATTTACTAACCGCTTGAGTCAGGTACTCACTGCAGGAATGCGACAAAACATGCACAGCAAATAATTTGTTAATGTGATTCGTTCAGACAATTAGCCAATGCAGTCACATCGTCAAAAATCAACCAATGCCTTTGCATCGTTAAATGCTGACAGAGAGCAAAGATTGATTTGTCAGCTGTTGCTTAGATTTTAAGATTTTTGCCTTCTAATGGCCCGAGATTTAAGTTAAAATCTTTAAAAATGTTATGTATTATTCTCAATAAAACAGATGCTCTAATTGCATGTAAAAGAACTTTAAAAAAAAAAACTGGCATAAAATAAAGTCATAAACCTACATGAGAAACATTAAAGAAAAAAATGACACTTACTGCGAGTCATGTCGTAGATGTCTACAGGCAGCGATGGCTTTCCTTCTCCAGCACTATTAAAAGCCACTACGTAAACCCTGAACGTATCAAATAGATCAACTAAAAGACAAAAGATGTTTTGAGATATGAAAATGTAACACATAAAAGAAGAAGAAGAACACTCTTCAACCTTGGATGTACTTCTCACGCTAAAATAGAAACGTACAAAATAATTAATGATAAATATGAAACAAATTTAAATAATTTCACAAACTTCCATACAAAATATTTTAACAAATTCACATTAGGAAATTTTCATAATCATCCCACTACATATGTGAATGCATCAAATATATTGAGCGGAATCTGAATACATTGATAGTGGCCAACCAATGGCATGATTACCCCGGTCATTGGATTAAACACCGATGAAACGCAAGTTTAATATTAGGACATTTAGGGTTTAAGAACACATACCACATAATACAACCATTAGACAAGTTTGAATAAGGTAAGAATTGGGGGAATATTCCATTATGATGTTGCCACAGCTAATCAGCATATTTGGCATATTCTAACCCTACCAGGTACCCACTTATACCTTTGTGTGGAGAATGCACAATGTGCCTTGCTCAAGGACACAAGTGAAATGCACAGCGAGTGATTGAAACCCCAACCTCTAGGTTGGGAAACTTAACCATTCCCGCTGCACTAAACCACCACTTGTACATATACATTGTCTTTACTTACTGTGCAAGTGCAATATATGCTTCCTCTGTCATACCAGGGATATGGGGCGCTAATGCCTTGATTGGTGCCACGATTGCCCATGTTTGAATGTGATCTTACCTGTGATTTCTACGATCTGTTTACTGGCCGGCACACTATACGTTGGACTATCTGGTAACCTATCATCTTTTGAAACATATATATTATACCCAAGAATGACGCCATTGCACTGATCCTTTGGCACTTCCTGAGTGTAAAATAAAATTACAAGGTTAAATAGTTACAATATTTTTGAGCGTGCTAGAAAATGCCCAACTGTTAAATATTTGTATATAACTAGTGTATTAATAATGTACTTGTGTATTTTAAGCATATACTACCACCTATTGTATCTGAACTGTCAGTTTGTGGCTGTAACTAAAAAAAAGATCTGGTGTAAGTATAAATTGTAATATATACAATGTTAAACCAGAGATATTTAGAGTCCATGGTTCTGAAAAAGCAGTACTGCATGCCAAATCTCAAGTTGCCAGAAAAGTTCATCTGGTCTGCCGAAAAATTAAATATAGTGGATATACTGTATTACTAAATTAGTGGCATCTATAACTCTACGAAAAATAAGCAAATATAAATTTTGAAAATAAAGCAGAAATGTATCAAATATTCATAATCCTTGTTAATCCTTTTGTAAGACCTTAACAACAATATCCAGTACTCATAAGATTTAAAGCAAGATTGTACTCCATCGTCATTGATTGAAATGACATAAATGACACACGACATACTCCGTGATCTTAGAAAAAGAAAACTTGCACTTGCAAGAAGCAATAAAAAGTACTTTCACATTGTTAGTGACTCCTAATATATTTTTATCAACCAGTGGATAAGAATTATCAATGTTATTATTATTATTATTATTATTATATTTATTATTATTATGTCTTTGCCTTTATCATTGTTTCTCTGGTAGGCATCTTGTACAGGGACATGTTCCCTTTTTTGCCTACCAGACTCATTTCATTTTGAGTGAAATAAAATTATGAAATATTTGCATGTTTTTACTACTTTGTTATCAATTGTCTCACGGAAATCAGTGCCGATGGGTATCGCCCTGCACAGCAAAAAAAGAATTAAATATGTTAAGAACGCTCATCTACCAGATCTCCTGGAAGAGATTTCTTCCAACTTGTGACACCTGATTAATAAGGGAACACTTCAATCATAAAGAATAAGAACAACGCGAATTTAAGTTATAATCCTGTAAATATACACAATGTAGAAGGAATTAAAAAAACGTACATCCCAAACCAGGTAGACCTTCCTAAGAGATGGATTCTCTGTATCAATATTTTTCTGTGTCAACTTCCGAAGGTTAGATACCGAACCGCTTGGAACTGGAATAATAAGCAAGAATTAATATATATATGCAGAAAGCTAATCATCAAATATAAAAATGTCATTTAATCAGAAATAACACTAGACCAAATCAATTAATATAAAAAACATTATACCATTATATATGTATGTAAATGTAAAACAGTTGACTAATCAATTTAAATAGTTACCGACCTGGGTGATCTGAAAAGCGCGAGTGACTGCACCAGTTGACTGCAGGGGGGGGGCACACTGCTGGGAGAGTGGGGTGGCCTCCGGTTGGGTGGTCCTGGGGTCAGAGCCCCATGGCGCTCCAACTGCTTCAATGATCTTAGCATTTTTAAGCTGTTTTAAAACGATTTCAGGGAGATTTTGTTTACAATGCCGCAGCCGTTCGATGGCAAAACAACGCAACTGCAAATTTTCACTTCTCGATAAACATAGAATTAAAGTGTGAATGTTTGCAACTTGGCAATAAAATTGTAAAATATATTTTGAACTAGATTTGAACTTGTCACTGCGGACGGTGTGGATTGAACAATTTTTAAATGCTGAAAATGGGCTAAAGTATATGCTAATTCAGTTTTTTTTAAATATATTAGGAGCATGTTAAAAGATTTACTCATGTGTACGAGCACGCCATGACGCACGTGCGCATGATAATGTCACGAAGTGTTGACTCCTGATATGAGATATATGTATCAACCCTCATTGACAAAGGCCTGTTGGTGAGGGACTTCTTATCATTTATAATATTTATCATATAAAAATTCAGTTTTTTGAATTCAGATGTCAATATGATGACGTTACAATGTCCGATCAGCTATAATGATCTATAAAATCATATCTAAAACTCATGTGCTTTCAGACTATGTAATAAAAATTGGGAGGGTCACCTTTCATCCTAAGGAGCTATAACTGATTAAAAATATTCATGATTTTAAGCATATATAAATTTTGACGCACATGTACGCGCACGCTAAAAATCGCGAATGGAAAATTTGGGTACATGACATTCAACCTTGACCTAAAGTTTATGCTCACTTAATATGATTCAGAAATGACGAAAGGTTAATATACTATGGAGTCATCAACATTTTGAGCAATGAAAGAAGAAGGGGGTCAGAAAAAACATTTTTTTTTTTACCATGATGAAGTCATCAAAATGTAGAAGATGTCGCACATATGAAAGAGAATTGTCTCAGCTATAACATACTCAAAGTTGGAATGCGATTGACCAAGGATAAGCGAGATACGGTCAAATGCGTATTTTCAAAACGTCATCGATAAAATTCAGTTTCATTGAATTCAGATGGCAATTTGATGATGTCACAATGTTCGATCAGCCATTATGGTCTATAAAATAATATCTACAACTCATGTGCTTTCAGAATATGTAATAAAAATTGGGGGTCACTTTTCATCAGATTGGCACAGCGGTTGACGTTTGGGCTTTCAATCGTAAGGTCGGAGGTTCGAGTCTCCGCTGTGCAGATTCGCTTGTGTCCTTGGGCAAGGCACTTTAGCTACATTGCTTCAGTCCACCCAGTTGTATCAATGGGTACCAGCAAACTGCTGGGGACTAACCTGCGACGGACTAGTGTCCCGTCCTGGGGGACTACAACTCTCATCCGCTTCACACTACAGAAACTGGGGATAAGCTCCAGCCCTATGAGCCCTAGAGGCTCGGAAATGATTTAGTTTCATCCTAAGGAGCTATAACTGATTAAAAATAGGCCTGTTTTTAGCATATTTTCACTGTATATCGGCACAAATCCGCGCAAAGATCCCTATGTTTGATATGTTTGAAAAAAACGTAATTTCTAGCTTCCCTACATGCTGCACGCGTAAAAATGCATGTGCATAGTGGAAAATTAAAAAAAAAATTGAAATGCTCAAAATGGCCTGAAACGTGCTGTATTTTAGTCAAAAAGTGATTCCGAGCATTTTAAAAATTTGAAGCATGCGTACGCGCGCGATATGACGCACACACGTAAAATTAGGGTACATTACATTTAATATTGACTTGAAGTTAATGCTCACTTAATACGATTTCGAAATGGCAATTGGTTAAGCTGATATGATCGCGCGTACATGACGTCACGCATAACTGTGCACTTTGAAAACCTTATTGTGACTATTCCAGGCCAAGCTAAATGTTCGTTGAGACGTACATGTACGAATCTCGTGCCAATTTTGAGATATCGTGCTAACAAGATATGGGGAGAAACGTAGAATTAAAAAAAAGATGATCTCTGACAATAACAAGAGGTGATCCGCTCGTGAAGCGGATCACCAATTATATGTAAAATTTTAATTGCAACTGTTGGTTTAATGTAAAGTTATTAACAATATTCACAGATAATCCAATTGCTTATAATGTACAGTTAAATAGGAACTCTGAGAAATTCACTTTTCAGGGATCCGAATGCTCCTAAAGTACAATAATTGGGAAATTTTGAGGCAATAGATTTTTTTTATCAAGGTCCATCCTAAGTTGGATGGATTCCTCCTTATATACTTCCATACATTCACATGATACCAAGAGATAAATCTAAAAATCTCTGCATCTTTTGCCTGCCTCTCCTTCCTAATTTTCGGACCCCTCTCAGGGCCCCTGTCGAGCCTCCAAAATTCACCTTTGCGTACAACTGATGAGCCCCACCCCCGCATTTCAAAACTCTCGGATACGCCAACTGCATTGAAATGAGGTCAAACAAAAAATTTCTTGTGTTGGCCACTTTTTGAGAAAATCCAATTAATGTGTAGGTCGGTAGGAAAAGTTTTTTTTTAAATTTCCACCCCCACCCCCCTAAAAAATATGTTTATGCCTAAAAAGTAGAAAATTTACCGAAATACAACAAAGACCATTTTAAAATCTATATTTAAAAGCAAAATGATTGCATAGCACTGTTGCATCCAAGCAAGCAAGATAGTCATATTCCAGCCTTTTAGCTCATTAAAGAAATGTATTTTTTATTGTAGTCAAAAAAAAAAAAAAAACCCTCCCCCCCCAAAAAAAAAACAACTAAAATGCCGAACCTCATTTTCGTACATTTTGGGTAAGTCGGGCATAAAAAACAAAATAATTTTTTTTATAAGCCAGATCTAGAAATGTTTACCATTTCTCAAAATGCATCAATAATTTGTAAATGGGCAGTGTGAATACCTTCTTCAGGAGTAAACAACTCAATGTCATCTGACCACTCACTCCATTCCGACTCTACTGAAAATTCAGATCTTGCTCGAATGCGGACTTCATATGTTGTGGATGGATCTAGGTTCCCAACCACTACTTGCATATCTAATGCACAGTCATCAATCTTTAAAAAAAAAAGGGAAAATTATGACAATATTATTCTAAGAATGCACACAAAAATGGGGAATTGAAAACAATATTTTATTAGAATAAAAATCTTACCATAGTTTTATTTAATTTAGCTCTGTTTCGTTCTCCTTCCTTTTTCTTTCTATAGCCAACTTGACAATTCAGAATGTATGGAGGAGGCCATGTTAGAGGCAGTTCCCATGTAATGTTCAATCGAAATCCATCTAATGCTTCTCCATTTAAATTATGAGGTGCGTAAGGTATTACTGTACAAACAAAAAAAAACAAAACAATTTTATTCTTGAGAAAATAAATATCACCACATAAATCAGGAATTCTATTGATAAAGAGATAAAAACAATTTTATATATTTTTATTGACCCATAAATTTATATAAAAACATGAATCACCTTCAAACATGAAAAATACCAGTGTACACATCTGATTTGTGTACATTTACCCTATATACTTGCATACAAGGCGATCCATGAATAAAACGACCCCCAAGTTTGAGAAGGTTTTTGGACGACTTTTGTAAGCCGGACATATAAGACGACCCCCACTCCAAATCGCCATATAAGTCCAAGGCTTGGTAAAGTTCATGGATTTCATTGCATCAGCATATAAAAAGCATTAACAAAAACTTAAAAACTGATCGTCTTAAACATACGGCATTCATTTCTGGCCCATCAAGCATACATGGTGACAATACTAACAGTTAGTCGCATGATTATTAAAAATCTAAAAATCTGATCGTAATTTGCTATTTCAAGCCTTGTCTTATAGGCAAGAATATACATTACATTGCTGTGTAAGTTTCGGAAGAGTAGGCGATTTAGTTCATCTCCTTTAGTTGTGGAAGGATGTGACTACTGAGTGGTTCTCCACTGCAACTGTGAAAGTTAGTTACAAAGTTAGTTGCAAGTTACTGCCATTATGGGTTAATTTGCCTAAATTATTTCCTTTAAATTATAAATTTTTCTATACTGGCTTTTTTTTTTTTTTTTTTTTTATCAAAATTTGCATTTCAAATTTAACAGCATCTAAATTGCAAGGGCTATCAATTATGTGACTTACTGTACCTTCAAAGTATGGATAGAAATCCAGCGTTGTAGTTGTATTTCCAAACACATTGGATGTTGTAACTTCTACAGTATTAAGAAATTTGTTGTATAGAGGATCAGTGGCTGGGGATACAGTACAGGTGTTTTTAGTCCCATCAGCATTGCTTCTCAGCTCTTTACATTCTTGCCAACCCCTTGGTATATTTCCTCTAGTATAATCAACAAAAGATTTTATTAATTAGCTTTAGACTACATTGTTATATTTTAATAGATCCTAATATTCAAATTAAATGAATTTCTTGAGAAGAAGACAATATTCAAATGGCAGGGGTCCCAAGTTGGAAGAAGCCAATTCCAGGAGCAGGGGTGGCGCCAGGCCCCCCCCCCCCACGTCGGGGAGAAAAACCACAATTCATCAGGGAGAAAAAGAAATATATGTACTGTATTTTCTACATATTAGTAGACTCTAAAATCGATTAATTAAGCCTTTAAAGCACCTAAATTGAGATTCTTGCTTGCTTGCAGGTGTGGGAGGCCGTCCCAATTTCTGGGAGATTCTTGCAAGTTCCGGCAGACTTGGGACCCCTGCAATGGCAACTGGAAGAATGGAGGGGATAGGCCAACCGTAAAGAGGGGAAAATTATTGATGTCAATAACTTATATCAGGAATCTGAGGTGTCACCATTATGTTACTGCAATAGGCCAAATACAAATTTCAAAAATATATGCAGTATTCAGTGGTTAGGCAAGGGGCACTGCTAACTACAGCCTTAAAATCAGCGCTGGTTTGATCTGCTTCTCGCCCAGGTTTCGGTTGGCAGAACCAGGGCTTTTCGGACTCAAAAAATGGGAGGTCCTATGTATACACCTGGCTTGTGTGCACATTAAAGATCCCATTGCATCTTTCAAAATAGTAGGGGGTTACCCGATGCTATGGGCTATTTCAGAACCCGTCGTGGTGCAATGATATGAACTAAAGCGCCTCTCTATGACTACTACAATAGTCATGGACCATGCCAATACGCAATGAAGCACATGAGGATGCGAGTTATGGGTTAATCTCCTACCTTTACCTACCTATAACGGAAAGATGAGTGAGCGATTGACATATGGAGATCTGTGACTAGTTCCCAATCGCACCAGAATGATAATATATTTCTACTGTGGCATGCAAAATTCTTCGCTTTCTGTGTTCTATCTGCAAGTGTTAAAAAAAACAAGGTTTAAATATTTAATGACAATTTTCTAATGTAATTATTTACATTTTTTGGTGTCTCTTTTTAATTAAATTATTGTTAGGTAGTTTTAAAGTTAATATTTAATTATTTATCATTCAACAATTTAATGTTTTCAATGTCATGATAGTTAATATAAATAATAATGTAATTTTCTCAATAACGTTTTAATTAAAATATTCAGTAATTTTAATGTAATTATCGAAATAATGTTATATATAATTCTATTGTCATGAATACAGTTGTTTCTCTGTTGGGTTTTTCTTATTTTCCTTTATTATTGTTATATTATACTTTTTGATGTTAACATAATTCTTAATTCAGCCTTTTGGCTGCCATGTTTTATGTTTTTATGAATTTTGAATTTTGATTACTACTAAAATACATACAGTATATATTTGATTACATTTACAACAGCAAAATAAAGTCATATTTTTTATATTTTTCAATTGGAGGTTCAACTGTATACTCATTGACATTCATCTACTGTACAGTAATCACAATGTTTTATTTATTTTTTTATCTACTGTACAGTAATCACAATGTTTTATTTTTTTTTTTGTAATTGCAATAAACCACATATCTAAAGTATAAGAGGCAATCCATTTTACAACATACACACTTCATGTGAGGACTTTTATCTCAGATAAGCATAGCTCTTGTTTTAGAGCTATATATAAACTAATTCTTGTCTTAGTGAGAGGACAAGAATGGGATTCTAATGGGATTGTAAGCCAAGTATCTTAACCACCAAACAGTGTGCTATTACTAATTTCTCTTTTGTACAAAGGTCAAATGTCAACAGCTTAAAATTCTATCTAAAAGAATTAGGCAATGACCCTTTCCGCGAAGTCCCACCACTTCGATATGTTCCTAAGGTACAAAATGGCAGTGTAAAAACATACGCAAACATATGCGTATGACGTGGGACAACACGTCACTCTTCTGATTGGTCAGTTGTTAAGTTTGATTGACACTTTGGGAAAAAAATTATAATTCCAGGATCCTACAGGACATAAATACAGAACCGCATTTGTAGGTTTTGAGTTGTAACTTATGGATTTGAGCTATGTTTAATCTTTTTTTACAAATTTGAATACATGGGTGCAAATCACATCTACCCATCACATAAACTTATAGCGAAGACAAAGCTTCAATTTAAATTTCACATTTTGCAAGATTAACTTCTGAAGTTACTTTTAAGATTATGATTTAACTGCTTTTACTTATTATCCTTTATATTCTCTTTTTTATGGTTGTTTTAATTTTCAATTTTATCTTTGTTTTATCCATTTTCTTTACTTTTGATGTTTTTAGTCCTAAATTTTTATCTTTTCATTCTTGCTTTTTATATGCATGGACCTCATTGAAAATAACTGGTTTTTTTAACTACTTTCATGGGCTATCCCTGTGTATAAGCAACATCGCAACTTATCATTTTTTGTCTTGTTCTTTCTCTAAATTTTAGGCACTGGTTACTTTCACTTTGTCATTTTTTTAAATCTTTTATTTCCTTGTCTGTTTTATATGAATCTTAATGTTGTTTTATACTAAATAAATTCAATCAATCAATCAATCGACAAATTGGAGGTGCAAGCCATTTTTTTTTCTTTCTGTGAATTTTTGCTTTGTAAAAATTTTGTATCAGTATCATTACTTAAGTAAATAATATTGGTGATAGCAATGGCGACGATGACAACTTAACAACGGCAACAACAATAACAATAATAATAAAAGAGAACTTCTTAGCTACAGGCTACGTACATCCTGTATGAACAACAGATGCCTCGTAGTTTGAATGATCATCTGAAAATGCACAACGGTAGGTTGTATCACCAAGCGGCGGTATCAAGTGAAGTTCAGAGACACTGTTGTTTGCTCTGAACGAAGTGTTTGGTAGAAAATCCTCAGTGGCCCCGTTTACAACATACCATATCAGATCATTTGCAGTTCTTGTGTGTTGCGAGTCAACATGACAATACATTTTAAGACTTGTGCCGTTTTCAACATAAGGATCTTTAGGTGCAATAGCTACGAAAAAATTTGTTAATGGTTAGTAAATTTGGGATGCACGAGAGGCTGATTGATCTGCAGCTTGTTGGTATTATTTATTTATTTATTTATTGGTTATTATTTAAAATATTTTGATCTGGCAGTACAAACTGAGTTGCGTCAAAATTTACATCGATAAAAGGTAAAACAATTTTAAAAAAAACAAATACACAATACAGATTAACAGCAAATTAAAACCATCAGAAAAAACCTATCCATCAATTTAGCAGGAAACATACCTAGCTTGCAACTATGTATATAGCAACTATGTATCATTAATTACATTTGAGTTGAACAAGTTAATTTTATATGGAATGGTTAATTTACGGAATCGTTCGGTAGGAAAACTGAATTGAGACAATTTGTCATTGAAGTGTAGTGGGCGCCCAGTGGCAAGCCACGGTTCATAGGGAATAAATGATTCTGAAAGGTTCTGAAGGACATTACTTTCGACATTGAATTTGATTGGTTACGTTTTAATAAATTTAAGTAAATAGCTTGGTATACATTTTTATTTAAAAAAATATAAGTGTTGTTCCTCAGTATAAGCAATTCCCATACTTTTCTCAGGAAAAACCCAGGGTATCTTTCACAAATACCATAAAATGAGACACCACAAATATTTGAATAGTGTACAATAAATACCGTAAATAAAAATTAATAATATTCTAGACTTATATATTCATTTTAAAGGAAATAATGCACTTTACGATGACAGTTCACTTGAATATGAATTACAAATAATAATCCAATTACACTTTATATTTTTACTTGCAAAAAAAAACAACAATAAAAGTACATCATGAAAGCAAGCAAGGATAACAAAAAATTAATAATGGATATTTAAATAACAACATAAAAACAGAAACTTACTTCAATTGTAAATGTTACTGTCAGCATGTACAATTGGCACATAAATATATTTTTTTTAAATTTAAGATATGAAAATCTAAAAAAGTTGTAGGCCTACCTATAGTATTTGTTTTAGCATTTAGATATTAATAACCCCATAGGTTTGGACATTTAAAGCAAATACATTTGTTAACTAAGGCAATTTATATGAATCATTTGGAATATTAATCATAAAGTTTGCAATAATACTCCAATTATATTTTACTTCTTTCAAAATTACAAACACCAAACTTACTTAAATTGTAAATGTTAGTTTCTTTTATGTCGCCATTCACACTTCGGACAGAAAAAGTAGCAATCAATAACACACAGGAGACAACATTTTTTAGGCTTTCCATGATCACTTCCTGTAGTTAAATTAAAGTCACACAGCTTGGTGAAACTGACAGTTTGCACAAAAAAAAAGATGATGTCCTACAGTCGCTGTTGGTCCTCATGAGCTGCAAGTACAAGTAGAAACTAGCAAGTCAAACTTTGTCTATTATTTAGAGAAGCAAAAAAGTTTAATCACTGCTAATTATCAATAATGCAATTTAAATTAACTGAAATACAATGTAATATAATGTAATGAATTTAGTTTAATGATAAAATGTAATGAAATATATATTTTTATAAAATTGTTTTATAAGTTTTTTCTGTAACTTAAACTTACTGGTTTGAGTCTGTGAATTCTGGATAGGCACATCTCTCATTCATTTCATTTTATTTTATTTAGATCACAAAAACAGTAAAATTAACACTGACTTGCATGTGATGTACAATATACAGTACATTAAAATGCTTTATAAAAAAAAAATGTACTTTTGCTTTTATTAAAATCAAATTATTGTAATCATTATACTTAATAATAATAAAAATAATAATATTAATAATAATAATAATAATATTAATAATAATAATAATAATAATAATAATAATAATAATAATAATAATAATAATAATAATAATAATATATGCTAAAGGGACTTAAAGGGAATATCTTTTGTGTTATTTTCCCCTTAAAGTCATGTTATTTTCCCGTTAATGTCATTTTTTTTAATTGTTCCCCTTAAGGTAGGTTTTAGGAACATAATAATAATAATAAACAACAACAACAACAACAATTATAACCTGACTTCAACATTATCATTATTATTAATGTTACCTTTTTTGCATGTCCTGGTATTTATTTTGTTTTGTATTGTTCAAGGTTGTTAATATTATTGTTTAGTGCTAGGCGTATGTACTATTTTTTTGCAAATTGCAAACAAGTGAAGTTTTGAATTGTATGTTTTGAAACCGAATAAATATAATAATATAATATAATAGTAACAGGTAATTTATCTCAGAAATCTGTGTCCACAGGGTTGGCAGTTTCCCAGAAAAATTGGATCATTTGATCACCCGTGAGCAAAGCACAGTTTTTCAAGCTAAGCTAATAGGTCTATAATTTCTTCATTATACAGGGTATCCTGTTCAGTAGACAGTTATGCTTTACTAATAATGAGACTTGGGGACTGGAGTTTTAAAAATATTATTTTTGACTTTTACATTATAACATAAGAAATATAATTTAATAATTATTATAACTATTTACTGTTAATTTAATATATCAAAACAATAAATTAAAACATATTACTGTAAATAATATTAAATACTAATAATATTAATGATGATGAATTATATTATTATACAATCAAAAACACTTAAATTATTATTACATAAATTAAACAGAAAATATAAATATTTATCACATTGGATAATTATGCAAATGATCTTTGCTTTCATTAACTACAGTTGTTTCATTCTACAGCACTTTACTTTAATAGACACATCATGTAGCACATTAGCTGCAAATATTCACACATCCACGTACACGTTATTTATATAGTATTGGATATGTAAATTACATTGATCAATCAACTTTGCTCGATGACCAATAGAATTGCCCTCATTCAATTTAGATATTTAATTAAATGTGACAGTGCTCTGAAATGTCTTAACAATGACATTAAATGAATTCCAGTATCATGAAAAAAATTTACTATTTGCTATTTAAAAAAAAAAAACATTTATTTTTCGATGGACAATAAAAATAATGAATATCTGAAAAGAATGATGTCGAGGCAGGAACATAAATGGCAGAAATACATTATAAAGATTCACTTTACTTCTTTTATAATATATATATATATAAAAAATAATTTTTACAATTTACCAGCCTTTTTACCATTAGTATATAGGGTAGTAAATATCGAATAGTAAATACCCTCATCAAAAAATAATTTCAAATCCCAGGATGTAAAACAAACAATTAATTTTATTTGGCCTAACAAGTATGGTCAATGACCTTTGCTGTCATTACCGCTATTCCATCAATTCCAAATTGTTATCATCACATCATGATCACTCATGACATTATCATATTATTAACAGAGTAAAAAATAATGATAAGTCATAACTTAACACACATCTAACAACTTAATACTGTAGATAGACCGTAAGTTATATGATGTGTGTTAAGTTGTTTGATGTGTGTTAATTTATGCACTGAGGTATACCTCCATGATTTATGCAGTAACTTCTTTACGACTAAGGCCATGTAACAAAAAAACCCTTGTTTCCCGTCCTGGGTTTTTTTTAAAGTTGGTGAGGGAGGCGCTTATTATTTGATATTTGTTATTTTTCACAGTTCGTCAAAATATGCCAAAGAATGTTCTCTGCGTAGCAAAATGTGTTGTAAACAATCTGTCAATAGTTTTGTCACTGCTTCTTCTTACTGTTATCATGGTCTTTGTGTTTAAAAATGCATTTGAAAACTATAAAATCTGTCCGCAATTTAAATTATGCATTTTCGATGTAAAAAAACCCAACATTTTTAAAATAACAAAAAACAAAAAAATTGATGCGGGCCAAAAAATTGGTGAGAGGGGACGAGAAACAAGGAATATTTGTTACTTGGCCTAATGTGTTATTTTGATATTGCGTGTGTAATACTGTTTGCAACATGGCAAATGATTTTTATGTACGCCACTGATTGTGTATAAGAACAATAAAGTATATCTTATTTTATCTTAACTAAGGAGTTTGTTATTAATGAGGTCAAGAAGGCTTAAGCAGTATCCACTCTGCTCCAAGTGTCATGCAGGCCTACACCTCAGCCTGCCCCTACTACATAGCTAAGTGATATGTGATAATATCAAACATGGCTTTTAGAGTCATAATGCTGATAAAGCCTACTTCAATCTACCCCATATATCTTTAAATTTCGATATTTTCTATATTAAGTAGAAAAAATAAACACCTAAACTTACCTGTCCTTTTTGAATATTCTCCTATACATGTTAACCATGTGTTAACTATCATACAATTTCCTACCAGAATAAAATGCTTTCTCAACTTCACACACTGAACTGATCAAGACTGCAGCAGACTAATCAGTGGGTGGTATCTTCCAAGAAATCCTCATAGATTTGACCAATCAGAATAGAGCTCTCTGAAATGTGGCTCAGACAAGTGATGACTGTGCAGCTACCATTAACTGATGGATTGTAAGAATCTAATTGGGTTAAAAGACTTGTAAAAGCTTGGAGAATGTTGAACCTCTGACCTTTTTAGAAAAGGAAAACTAGATAATGTTCTGCAGAATGCGCTAATCGACATTTTAAATGGAAAATAGATCTTTTTTTTTTGTAATTGAAGTTCCAAACAGAACTATAGCAATACTCATATCAAAACTAAAATTATAATTTCTGTATACCGGTAAATTTTATTAATACTGTATATAATAATTATCAGTATCAACACCAATGATGTTTTCCCCACTGTGAAAGCCATTATAAAAATAGACATAAAATCACTTTCTAAAGGAATATTTAACCTAAATCTAATTGACACTACTGTAGGTTTAGAGAAAATACAATAACTGTATATTAATCGACCTATTATTATTATGTACTGACACTTCTTACTGCCATTATTAACACATTGATAATCATTTATGAATACACCTGCTACCACCGTCACTATGAAAGCTATTAAAAAAAATAAAAATCACTTTATAAAGAGATGTATAATCTACTCTAGTAATTATTGACACTTATCATAGGTTCTGAGAAAATATGATGAAAGATAACTACACTTTGTTTTACCATTATCAACACACTGACAATCATTTATCATTATGAATATACCTGGGTATAACCATGACATAACTGAGAGTGCCATTATGAGCCACGAGTCACAGTAAAAAAAAAAACAAACTGGTTGGTACCACTTTTTTGACAGTATCTTTGAGTCACAAGGTTGTCCCAGAATCTGTCTCTTATACACATCTAGATGTGTATATGGTTGAAGGGGGGGGGGGAACCTTATGATTAAAAATATATTACGAAATTGCAACCAACTAAGTTTTATAATTTAACTATGATCATACACTCAATTATTTACTCCCGAGCTCAGTGGAGGGAGGCTTTGAAGAGGGCCTATATAAATTAATTATAGTTTAGACACTGATGAGATATAAAAAACACCAAAGGATCATTTTCGCTTGACATTACCAAACACCCTTTCTCAGGTCAAGATGTCCTGTATGAGCGTCTAGTGCATTATTATTTTAAAAAATGTTCTCACTAAGGCTTTTTCTACACTATCAAATTTCATCAAAAAATCGTCACATAAAATTTGATGGAACATGTTCAACTTTTTTTGATACAATTTGATAGTATGTGATATGACGTCATATCACATTTTTTTGTCACATCAAATTTGATAGTGTAGGCAAAGCTTTAGGGAAGGGGACAATCTATGGCCATTGGATGGCATTAAGCGCCAAAGTTCTACTCTTGCCCTGCCTGTTGGGTTGTTGCCCCGCCGTTTGGGAAATCCTAGCACTGCCAGTGGAGCTTCAGTTGATCACACAATCACCTAATACTGCACTGAGCTGTAAATAGCAAAATAGCCTAAACACTAGAGTAAGTGAGAATTTTTTTTTATTCCTTGTTTTGCGCACTTATTTTTTAAAAGATTATCGGAGGAGGGCAGAATAAAAATAAAAATTTGTTTTCTTATTTTAATTGTTTGCCAAAATCATCTAGACGGAGGAGAAAATTAATATAAAATTTTATTGGTGAATGTAAAATAGGATGGTTAAATGCTTCAAATTTATATTATTAGGAAGAAATATACATACCTTATCTTTGGACATTTCAATGCAGCTCAGGGCGTAATAAAAATACAGTAAAGAAAAACTTTAATTTTTTATGTAAAATTTCCACTTTTTCTTGGTGGCAGGTACGCTAATTGGCCAAAAATAAAGTTTTATTTTTATTCAAAATCATCAATATTTGCAGTCGGCAGGTTCGCTAAACAAGGTATAAAGAAAGTCTCACCTAAGCTACAGTACTTCAACAGAGGATCTGAAAACCTCATTACAATCTAAATGCTGTTGAGCTTTGAAATGTCGGGGAAAACTCTGGAATAAAAACATTTTAATTTATGACCATAATATATGCATCCCAATAATTATACTAGGCTTTATGAGGTACTTAGATTCTCACTGGTTGATTTCAACATTCCAGGCATCACACAGTTTACCTTTTCAATGGCAAATTAATGTGGTTTAGAAAGGTTAAGAGGAATGCAGCGAACAACAAGATACTAAAGTTGATACCTTATGGCATTAAGAAGCTGCTATATATAGAACGATTTTCTTTATTTTAACAATAACTAACTTGCACCAATCATAGGATGAAAAATACTTTATATTTCACTGTAAATTCACATATTAGGCATTAGAAAAAAAAAAGAAGTTAATCATTAGAAAATAAAATCAAGACTTAAGTGCAGCTAATAGGTGAGTGTGTGGTCATTAGTAATCTAACAACTATTTGAAGAATCTAAACAATAAGTACTGAAATGCACGCCATTGTGTTGGGATTCAATATTTTAACATTAATTATGTCATCATCAGTACATGCTCCATGTCTTGAAATGCATGTCAAAGTGTTGGGATTTAATATTTCAATATTAATTATGTCATCATCATTATTGATGATGACATAATTAATACCAAAATATTGAACCCCAACACGATGGTTTGCATTTCAATACTTGGAGTATGTATTATACTTTCTTATAAAAAAACCTTATTATTATCCCTAATTTTTTAGCACAATCACAAGGAGAAATAAAGCAAAACACAAAATACAGTATTATAAAACAAAATATAAGGAAACAGACTTGCCTATCTCAATAGGAATAAGACTCATCCTAAAGATAATTTTTTTATAGTTTTGCCAACATTACTCGGTGTGGGGGGGGGGGGTCTTATTTTTATATCAATCAATCGATCGTTCCATTTTTATATCTATATCCGAGATCTGCATATTGAAAATGCCGATGACAAACATGGATACAAATGCAATCCATACTTCTACAGTATCCAAATTTATTTATTCTATGTTACTTTCAAAAAGAATTATACACTTATTATTTTAAGTTTAATTTGTTACATCCTCCATTAACTTCCTAAATAGAAACTATGGTAAAATTTGGCTTTTCCCACAACAGCGGAAAAGCTGTTGTTTCTGTTCTGATTCTTCATTTGGCTTTTCCATGTCAGTGGGAAAGCTATTATTAATATTACATGGTGTTTTGGTTTTTCCCATTCTGCTTTTCCTTTATCCATGGAGGACGTATATTAATATTATTATTTCCTCCATGCTCTATCCCATTTTCCTATTATTTTGCATAGGGTTTTTCTATTGGTACAGTACATGCAAGAAATAAAAACAAAGACCATAAAACACAGATGTGCCTAGAAAATATGTCATTCTAAATATTTTAAATATTATAATAAATGGTTAAATTAAAGTTTTATTAATAGCAACTTGAATTTTTTTTTAAAACTAAATGCAACATTACCATAAAATAAATAAACAACCTTTGCCACCAACCAATACGGTTTATAAAAGGTAGAAAAGTCACTGACCATCACAGTGTCGGGTGTAACAGTGCAATGGTAAAACTCTTCCCATCCTTACCAGTATCAAGGCCGCCCTAGTTCGAGTCACAGTATCGTAGAGTTATTTTCCACATAATTTTTGTAGGTACTGTAGCTTTTAATATTGGATTGGATTAAATCAAATATTTTTGAATAAAGTAATCACACAAAAAAGACTTCTTGAACAAAAAAATCATTGATTATATAATTTTATGGGTATATTTTCAAAGAACTTTTCAGACCAAGAGAGACAGAGAGACCAGCTACAACTAGGTTCAATACGAAATTACCATAAAATACACAACCTTTGCCCTCAACCAATAAAATTCATAAAAGGTAAATAAACAAGAAATATTTCCTATAAAAAAAACGCTGCAACTTCTGTTGCTTATTCAATTTGTGTATACAGTCGCTACTTCCAAATTTATCCTAGTGTAAATTTTGTTATCGTATTTAAGTTAGCTGTTTCAATAAATAAATCTATAACTGTATTTTCCTATAGATCAATAAGTGTAGCCCTATGCTTATTTATTGTTAAGGATAGGCCTAATATTTTATGGCAATATATATATAGGCATATTATGCATATTGCAGTAAAATATTAGGCCTATCCTTAACAATAAATAAGTATTAAATACTGTATATGAATTAAAGATTATTTTAAAAATAAAATTGGTGTTAAAATTATAAAATGATAAAACGGAATTATCAAAGGGTGGATCATCTCAGATTCTTCCTGCGGCTGGGTTTGTCTGGGTTGTAATCCCATATGGTAGATTAAGCTGTAACCTACTCAAAGTTCAACCACGTTCAGAGGCTTCAACATCAGCTAATGCCGGTCCACTGCTGGACAAAGGTTTCAGGATGTTGACGCCAAATCAATCTTTTTCTCTTGCTGTGTTGCATCATTTCACTCTTCCCCAATAAATATCAATATCATCTCTTAATCTTTTACACTGTTTTCCCTTGTTCCTTTTGCCATCCATGGGGTATGTTACTGTTTGTATTTGTTTGTACTGTACTGGGGAAATGTATAGTCAAAGCAACAGCCTAATGTGAATTAATGGGTTTTAAATGTTATCATGATTTTTAAAATACATCAAAAGACATTATTCTTGTTTTAATTACTTTCATATAGTCACACATGCAACAGTATTAATTAGAAAAGCATACAAACATTTTTTTGTTCTAGCAGCCTACGCCCCTGCAAAGGTTTCTGGAATTTACAATTATTGTGTTTTTAACAATTTGAATCCAGATGACTATTGACACAAAATAGCACAAAAGTGATATTTAGTGATGACAGCTACATGGCTTTGATGTTTCCCTTTTAGGTGGACCACATCCTATTCTTAAATGAGGTAAGACATTTCTTAGTATTACGGTTTGAATTCACAGAGGTACAAATGTCCTAATGGGAAAACAATCCCATAAGCTTTTAAAAGGGATGTCATCAACCTATTTTTTTGACTCATTGAGGATGATTGAGAGCCACATATCAGGATAATTCAGCCTGTTTATTGGATCAATGATGGCAGCTCTGTACTATGTAGCCTGCATCATACTACTGTACCATAGGCCTAGCCTAAGCAAACATTTTGCAATTACAATCTATAAAGGTACACTATAAGTCGCAAATGTTGGTTTCTTAGTCAATTTAGACATTTCTTACTTCCATAAATATAAGGCACTAATTCTTGATGATGACATATACAGTAATTAATGTTGAAATATTGAATCCCAACACAATGGCATGTATTTCAATACTTTGAGTAGGTATTATACTTTCTTATAAATTAAGCACTGTATGGTGAAAGAAAATGCAAAATGTAACTTTATAAACATTTTTAATTAACATTAAAATATGCATAAAACATTCTAATTTCAATGTCAGTGTAAATAATATTGGCAGAAAGGAATAAGGAAGAATACAAAATTGTTTTAATATAAGTATACGAATTCAATTTTTTAAAATTATTAGTATCATATATAATAAGGGTGACCCTTCCGGTTCAGAGAGATTAAAGCCAAGTACCCATTAATAGGGCCCCGGCCAAACAGTACAAAACAGAGAAAATTAACAAAAGTTCTTTCGAAGAGATAATACATTAAAATAAAATATGAGAGCACACACATACACAACATTTCAACATTTTAAATTCACAGAAGTATATTTGGTTTCAGTGTAAATTTCTAAACTTTAATAAACTACAAGTAATATTTTAGTTTGATCACCTTTTTTGAGAATTTTGTTATGGTGTCCGTTTGTGTGAGTGAGCAGATATGGGGCTTAATTATTTATTTAAAAAAAAGCAATTATTCTCACTTAAGGGTCGTTCAACATTATCAACATTTCTACAAGTGTGCAAACAGTATGCCATGGGGAGGACAAATTTGTACTTTTACATTATGCATAAAAATGTTGATTCAAAATAACTTTCAATTTGTAAAGTAATGGTAAAATTATAATGTAACCATGGATATAATATCTATTTTTAAGCAACCAAGTACATAGCTTTAGTTGACTTCACAAAAAAATGGAGAATGGTTTTGCAAAATCAAAATTTGTTTGTACACTTCCTGGAGGGGTTCCGAAAAAGAGTACTGTTTGTACACTTGTGAAAATATTAATAATTGTGAACGACCCCTTATATATACAGTAGCTTTATTTTAGCTTACATACTTGAAAAAGAATGTTATAATTGATGAATAGTGCAATGTGTGTTAAGTATTGTGGATCATTTTTAAAGTCTTCAAAAATATTGTTTGGTTGTAAATTTTGAATTTTTGAATTTTTTGATTAACTTTGTAGATTTCGTGTACAGTATGTTTATGTTTCACAACACATGACTATAATAGGAACTCAGTTAAAATTTAAAAAATAGAAATAAAAATCTATGCTATTGAGCGTGTACCAAATAACACTTATCTCATCTTACCAATGTTTTTGTTATCAAGTTTAAAGTATCCTTGATAGGCTTACATTCACATTGGAACAATGTGGAAACAGTTGGTGTAATGGTTGTGGCTAAGACCCACAGCATTCAGTTTGGAGTTTGAATCCATGAAAGTCACTTGTGGCCATGGGAAGTCACTTTGTTCATGTTGTCTCTCTCCTCCCAGGAGTATAAATGGTACAGTATCTAGGAAGTATGTGTGCCAATAGGTGCTGATTTATTTCATACAGCAATATTATGGAATATTCCACCAGGGAGATGTTGTGTTCCATGCATAATCAATGATAATAATATTATTATTATTATAATTATTATTATTATTATTATTACTATTATTATTATTAATTACTAATATTATTATTATTATTAAAATATTATTATTATTATTATGTTACTAAAACCTACCTTAAGGGGAACTTAGACAATGGAGAAATTAGAGAACAATTAAAAAACGACAATACTGGGAAAATAACAGTTAATAAGTACAACTTGCATTCTAAGAAAGCCTATGACCTCCCTAAAGTTAGATGCGAAAGGTCAAAACGTTTTATTATTAACTGTGGTCTTTTCAATAATTGGTAGACTGAGCACATGCTGGTAACGCTATCTTTCTAGACTTTTTAAATAATTTAAAAAAAATATGTAATCCTTAAATAATTTTATTTGTAAATCTTATATTAATTTTTTTTTATGAATTTATTTTAATCGTTTTGTAAATATCAATTTAATTATCGCCTAATTATAAATTTAACTTTTTTATACCTTTTAAAATTTTTTACTCAGAATCGCTGATATGTACATATTTTGCTTCAATGTTTCTAAATTGTATATAAAATTGTAAATATATCCAATTCTATTCTCTCTTAGGCCTAATCCCTTTTTTGCTTTATTTTTGAGCTTTTTGTAATTTTTTTACTTTGTTTTATTTCATGAAATTTTTTATTTATTTAGCATTTCGTGTCCTTTTTTGTGATGTTATTGTACTGTGTTTTCTTGGTCTTTTTTATGATAAAAAATTGCAATAAAGCTTCTCGTATCTCGTAATTTCATTATACAGTACTTCATTTACTGATTGTGTAATTGCTGATTTTAAGAAGTTTACTTTTTTTTCATAGTTAGCTACCTTAGCACATTAAAACCATGATATTAATATTAAAGACTAAGAACCACGTTATGCAAGAAACCATACAAAAGCAAACTGCCACAAACTCATTCGACCTTTAAATTCTAAAAGTAGACTGTTTTCTTGGAGAGAAACACTTCAAATGGTTGGTAATGGTTTTGCCCTAAAGGCTAGGAACTGATAGAAAGCCAGCTTGGATTATTAAATGTCATCATTCAATTCAAATTATTTGACTTGCAAACTCATGTCTTCCCCTTTATAAATATCCTTATCATTTCTTTTTCTGGACAGTTTGCAATGTAATTAAAAAAAAAAAATTTTTTTAGAGTTTTCTTACTCTCATCAAAACCTGTACACTTACCTTAATAAGCATGCACACATAGCACCTGCCAACCCTTGGGTCATGAAAATCTGGAGATTTTTTTAAGAATCTTAAAAAAATCTGGAGATTTACCAAAAAATCTGGAGGTTTCCATAATTAACCAAAAGATGATGCAAGATACCAAAAAAGTCACGTCACTACAAATCATTGGCCACGGGTTGCTACATTCGAATTGGAAATGGCTGTTTATTGCACCGCGAAGTGAGCAGGTGGCAAATATATTGAATAATAATGATCAAATCAATCAAATTATGCATAAATCGGAGTATTTTTGGGGAGGGGGTGGCCTGTGAAATCGGGTGAAAATTACTTTCGATCAGGTGAAATGGAGATTTGTTTAAATATCGGGTGACACCCAACAGGATCGGGTGAGTTGGCAGGTCTGACATAGTATAGCTCAAGGCTTGTTTCAGGCCTAAAATAAAAATAAAATTTAGTTTGGCCTGTGATTGTCTGGACACAGCTTAAGATTACAATCATTAGTGTTCATTGCCCATACGAAAATATTTTAAAATTGAATTCTAGGAAAGCCAAAGCAGTTAAAAACAATTAAGCGAATTATAAGCACTGGCCTTGGTTTCAAAGCAATTATGGAATGCAAGGCATTCTCTCAAATATATAGGCCTAATCTCAAATTGTAAAACAGCATTAAATCTAATTTTAAATGGTAATTCAAATTATTTCCCCTTACACGGGCTGACCTGGTGATATCACATGCTGGTCCTGCTTGGGGGCACTACTCCTCCTCCTTGTTTTATGTGTTTTTTTTTTGTTTGAGTACTGGCCGCTGCTAACACGTTCTCCTAAACAATTATTTGTTTTTAAACAAAGGAGGGTGCCGAAAAATGCGAAAAACACCCCACTGTGCATCCAACCACTGACCCAACCCCACCGTGCATCCAACCCCACCCAGCAAATAAACAATAAACAAATGAACAACCAAAGGGGTGGGGACTGTGACTGATTGCCTGATAAGAAAGTGAAAACGCCCAAAGATGCACAGTATATCGCCAAGGTGCATTAAAGTTAATGTACATATTAAATGTAAACTTAGACATCAAAAATGTAGAATTAAAGTGGGTTCAGATCAGATATATGTAGGTCTTCTGAAAAATTTGAAAAGTCAATAATTTCATCATACTGTAGTTTTTTAAAGAACTGAACTGTAGGAAACATGTGATAATTATTAAACCGCTTAGCTACTGCGCAGGCAGTATGATAAACATCATGTATCATGTATGATACATCATGTATGGCAGTATGATAAACATCATGTGTTTACCAATGATAGTGTGAGTGACTGAACAACCAATCAAATGAACTAATTGAAAGCATAATTCAAAGAAAAGCATAGTTGAAATATTCAGCTTTCAATGGAAGAAAATATAGCAAATTAAGCAAGGTAAGCAGCATATTGAGGCTAGCTACCCAGACTTGACTAATCTAACGTCAACAAGTATATGTACGTCCGTCGGCTACTGATACGCCTATATGCATAAATGACAGTTCCCAGCTCTGTGCAGGCTAACCCTTTGGTGATGGAATCAAATACTGCCTCCTAAACCGATGAACTGTCTGAAAGAGGACCTTGAAAAAATTGACATTTTTTTGAAGACTACTAAAAAGCGCATCCGCACTCTTTTTGCGTTATTATCATTATCAACATCTTTCATGTGTTCCTCCAGATGTTTCTTTAAGGGTCTACCCGTTTCCCAATGTAAACAGAGTCACAATTCCGGCAACCAATTTTGTATATGGCTCCACAGTGTGTTTTCTTTTGTGATCTTGTCTTTCGGGTGCACCAAGTGTTCTCTGAGTTTTGTTGACTGGTTCGAAATACAGTATTTTGTGTTTGTGTAAACAAATGAACAGTAAACGGCAACCACGCTTCCAGGAATTGACTTGCTTAAATTTACATTTCTGTCATATTTACCTGGTTTATTTAATCACATCATGATTATAAACATCATTGACTGAAAAATATATTATGATGCAGATAATACGTAAATATAGTAACAATTTGAAATTTTATCTTCTGAATTTCTTTTTCCCAATCGCCTCTATCAGTTCATGGGCTCTGACAGTATTTTTTGTAGTTTGCACCGCTTTATAATAACTTTCTTGTGTGGCCAAGTGGTGTGCCATATGTTCTGCCACTAAAACTTTCTCTCTGTTTTCGCAATTTCCCCATGACTAATAAAGAAAATGGTTATAAAATACTTGTTAAATATAAAAACATAGGTAAAATGCTTTACATATTAAACATCATCATGGTGTTCATCAGTGAATGAACTATGATTCTTTGAAAATCTGAGGCATGTTGTGGCAAAATGGCTAAGTTGTAGCAAAAATTGAAATTAAAGTTATTAGTATTTTCAGATACCTGAGTATGTAATCTTTAAAATAAGGGGTCATTCATTGAAATTGGACATTTCAAGCCTAAGTTATTTGAAAGTTAAAGTACAGTACTCTTAGAATCAAGATAAACATGATTTTGAGTAATTGCCTTTCAAAGTTTTTTGTGCATACATTGTTTAATAGAATGAACTATCAAAATAACATTAAATAAACAATGTGTTGACCACTTCCAGAACTAATACTTTGGTACATGATTAATAAGATATTAAACTGTTGATCTATAATGAAAAACAAATTTGGATTTTTAGGCAATTTTTTGACCTCCCATATTTTAAAGCTCATTTACTCAATACTGGCCTGTGAGACAACTTAACCATTTCGCCACGACATGCCTCATCTATTTGCATTTTATTTGCTAATTCACATATTAGAAATAAAATCCAAGACATTTTTTAGTCATATTTGGTTGTTTACAGTATATTTTGTGGCAGAAAATATAAAATGTCACATATGGGTATGGATACTCAATAATTCTCAATGCTCAATTTTTTACTTTAGTTTCTTCTACACATTAAATTTTATGTGACAAAAAAATGTGATGTGCCCATATATGGGTACGATGACATCATATCACATACTATCAAATTGATTAAAAAAAGTTGTACATGTTCAACTCTTATTTTCTATCATATTTTATTTGAAATTTTGATGAAATTTGTTAGTTTTAGTAACACATACACAATTAGAATTGCATCAAAAGTTGAATGGAATCATTTGAAGGTAGAGAAGGCAACAGTTACTAAATTTGTTAAAAACTTGACATTTAGTTTAAATAAACATATGCAAAGATTCTACATGGGTCTTATATCTGTCTCTTATACACATCTAGATGTGTATAAGAGACAGAGGGTACATGGTACTGTAGCATTCTACAAACTTCCAAACAGATTAAGTGATGAGCATGCACAGTAATATTCTATAAAATCATAGGCAAAATGCTTTACATATTAAACCCAATCATGGTCTTCATCAGTGAATGAACTATGAATCTTTGAAAATCTATTTGCATTTTTATTTGCTAATTTATATGTTAAAAAAAAAGTGATGTGCTCATATATGGGTATGATGATGTCATATCACATACTATGAAATTGATTAAAAAAAAGTTAAACATGTTCAACTCTTATTTTCCATTACATTTTATTTGAAATTTTGATGAAATGTGTTAGTGTAGACAAAGCTTCAGTAACACATACACAATTAGAATTGCATCAAAAGTTGTATGAATCATTTGAAGGTAGAGAAGGCAACAGAAAGACACAGTATCATTTGGATATTAGGATAGCAATTGCAAAATGTTACTAATACAAGCCAAGCATTGCATTCTCTCGCTAATTATTCATCATCTACTGTACTTAAAATAGGATTGGTTTTATTAGTACGCATTCAAACACAGATAAATGGCACACTACACCTGGTTGAGTTGGGTTGGCTTTCCATTTTAAGTATCATCTCATCCAATCAAATGGAGCTGCCTACTATGTAGGCAGGGCAATACGTTTCACATGTTCAGTTTTCTGGCAGAAATATCACCTTTGTTCTTAATTTCTTTGGAGGGCCAAATGGAATCCATACCTATCCAAGGCAATATATTATTATAATGATATAAATGACATTCAGTTATGCATAAAAAATGTTCAATAAGGCCTTGAAGATTAAAGCAGAATATTTTTAACAGAATGAAATTTTGTCTAACTTGGCATGTATGTTACTAAATTATTTAAACTTTTGGTTGACAATGGGTAGTGACTGTAATCATTTAAAGGTTAATGTACAGTATAATGTCTAAAGAAGTTAATCATTGTTAAAAACTTTTTGATCATCATGAAAAATGCCACAGTTGTCATTACTACAGTATTTTACTGTCTTTGTTCCATGACGACATGAAACAAATGGCTGCTTCATCTGTCATGTCAGTTGTATAAACGTATTTAACAAAATAAATCAAACAAGTTCACTTACGTATGTACCTGCCACCTTTCTTAAACTGGTGGGGTTTACGGCGTGGCAATTACCGGTAACCGCTGCCCAGTGCCTGGACATCTCCTGTGCACATCAAACTGGTTTCCCAGTTCAATTGACGAACAGGAGGCGGCTGGATGTTGAAGCTGGGCGGCAGTGTCGAATGTACATTTCTACTAAGTTTTTCAACATCTTCCGCAATTACCAGATTTTCCGCGCCGTACTTATTAGCGGTCTTGTGCTTCTGAACCTGAAGAAAAAATCAACAGCTTGAGCTATCAATTCTTATTACATTTGTAATAGCATTCTACAAACTACAAATATTAAAATGGTACAATAAAATCTCAGAAATCTGAGACTTCAACAATAAGGGTCATCAATGTTTGTATTTTTTATTAATTGCAATATTTTCCTGTAAATATGAAGTTCTGAGATTGGGTCATAAATATTTTTTGACCATGGGAAAGTCATCTTTGCTTCTCACGCAAAATCTCATTCATCCTTCTCAACTTAAAATTACCTGCAAAATGATTCCTTTGTGAGCAATATCACAGGCCCAAAGTCTGAATACTGGGCCTATAAACAAAACAGTGGTTTGGGTGGATCGTATATATTCTAAAAACTACATATATATTGTGAAAATAGACATTCTACAAACAAACAAAAAATTGAGTAATCTGGATGGATGATAGTATTATAAAAAGTAAAATAATAATAATAATAATAACAATAACAATAATAATAGATCGAGTGATTAGAGTGAATGTCAGAAATACCAAAAGTGTGAAACACTCAAAAGTGCAAGAAAAAAAATTCTGTTGCAATAAAGATCACATATTATAAGTTTGTAGAAGGTTAAGAGTTAAAAAAAAGTTAATAGCCGTAACAGTTACCTTCTATTTTCTTTAAACGACCTGCAGATTTCTGCAAATACTCTTGCTGCTCTTCGGCAGAAATAAGGTCGGCTTTAATTAAAAAAACGAAGCTGTTTAAAACACCTTAGAAAACGCAAACTGCGATAACATAAAACTTTAATTACCCATTTATTAAAATACAATGACATCATATTTTAATATGCACATCTTTTGTAAAAAAAAATAAATAATATCATTATTAAAAAATATTAAAAAATAATAAAAAATAATAAAATAATAAATACTGATATTAAAATATATCATTATAAAAATTAGATTGACAAAAAACACCTTCCAAATATTTTTACAATTAAATTATATTAAAAGATACATGTTACCTGGGGTACATGGTATACTGCCGGGTAAACTAAAACAATGTAGATAGTGCCTTGCTTAAGGACACGAGTGAAATACTCAGCGAAGGATTAAAACCCTGACTTCGAGGTTTAGTTTGATGTTATTGTAGAATATGATATGAAGAAGAGTAATTTCTACAAAGGCTAAAAAAATTGAAAAGTGGTGGGTGCATGTGCATGGTACTGTAACATTTACATGAGCTTACAGAAGAAATAACCTAGATTATAAATTTTAAATATAACTCAAATTCTTACTTTTTTCTGGATTCAATAAGGTCATTTAGTGTTCCGCTTTGTAGATGCTGTCCATAAATGCGCCATATCTGCTATCTTTATACTCACCTCTTGTGAATGTTTCTTTGGCATGCTTAGCGTTATTAAACGTCGACATCACAACATCTGTAAAGTTAATCAATTAATAAAATGGAATAGGATCAGATATATGAAGGTCTTTTGAATAATCTGACAAGACAATATTTCATCATAGTATATAAAAACACTAAAAGTTTTTGTACAGTACTGTAAAGACAAGTTTACATAAATTTTACTCAATAAGATTTTACATAACTATCAAAATAAAACCTAAAATTATAGCATAATAACTCAGTGATTTACACATTTGCAACTGGTTAGATTACAAATGCTTTGTTAATGTTAATATGTGTAGACAATGGAAGTAATTTAGTTATGAGCATATGGATTTAATTTTTTTTATCTAAAAAATAATATAGTATAATGATCTGGAAATTAAATTATATTAAGTACTTATTAAATAATTATTAAATATTAAATATTAAATTATTAGAATCCATTTACTGTACATGGACAGTGTATATTGAAATTATCACTGTTGTCAATATTTAAGCTTTACTATCATAGTATCATTAAGTTGTCTATATCGTTTATATTCATCACTGTGAATCTACAAAATAAATTAAAAACAAGAAGTTAAAAACACAGCAGCATAAATCATGAACCACACACAACAGTTACTTTATAATTAAAAAAAATGGGGAAATAAAGGAAATTAAAAATTTAAAAAAAAGAAAAGAAAGCAAGAAAATAATAGGGCACAGTAATAATAATCAGATAATGTATGTTCAATTGTAAATATTTAGGGATGGTCATTGACCAAAATCTGTTCAAAAATCTCCTGTTGCATTTCTGCCATAAAAGAGCAAAAGATTATGTCCCAAAAGATTGCCTTAGGGCCTACTGTATTTTATGCAATTGTTTTCCCTCGCGTTAAATACTGCAGTCTTGTTTGTGGTAATTTTGGAAAAACCCTAAGTGAAAAAATGCAAAGGCTCCAAAATAGATCAGCACATTTTTTGAGTTATTGTTAAATCTCTATCAGTAAAAGTCTTGTTGAAATTCTAAAAATAGGGACGTCCAGATTTTTTGGTGTTTTTGACATCGGAAATCGGGACGATGATCCCAATTAAATTGGGATGGTTGGCAGGTCTGGCATTGTTTTAACACAGGCGTTGAGCTTGTCAACTTCAAAAAGATCTGTGTATTTTTAAAAGTGATTACTAGTACAAGGTAAAAATTATTCTATGTAGCTATACAACAGTGATGATAATATTGAATGATTTAAATATTGAATTGAAATCTTTATAATTTAAACTGATTTGAAAAGAACTGTTGTAGTTGAGAAAGTCTCGACGTTTCGAATGAGTTGCTTCAATCATCTTCAGGAGATTCATATTGATGTATGCTGCAGGAGTTTACAGGAGAGATGCCAAATATTATAATTGGATGAGAAGTGACTCTGCCAATCAATATGCTGCTACCTACTGCAGGAGAACCTGCAAAATAAAGTATACGACAAACTCAGAAGCAGGACATTTTGTGTGGCTACACAATCCTGCAGACACCTGGGAAGTCACCCAAGTTGCGGTGTTGATGGGAAGGACCATATTGTGTGATTAAAAAGTTGTAAGATGTCACATTTCACATACAGGAAGGGACCGCAGAAACAACTAAAGATGGTCCATATAGACCGGTTAAAGAACTGAACAATTAATGCACCAACAGTAGATGTGGCAGAAGTTGTGGAAGACAGTCACATTGTTGCAGAATCAAGTGTCCTCCAAGATACTAAACCATGGAATGATGGCAGCACAAAACAAATCAATGACAATGCAGAAGAAGAGAAAAGTGCTACTCTACCAATGACTGTAGCCAGCCAATGGCCAATGCATTTCCCCTGGAACCGACAAAGACCAGCCCGATACGAAGAATAATTACTTTTGCAGAAGATTACAATATTATATTTGTTATTTGTCCATTGAAGACCATTTACGTTTGTCTTATTGGTTTATTCTTCAGTGAACTGTCAACTATGCAGGAGGAACGAAGATAGTACCGTAGTACAGTATGTGTACAGTGACAATATATTATGAGTTTACATAGATTTAGTATGTTCAGATTATATGGAAATTGACTATAATGTGTAACGATTTATGGGTATAATCTAGTTATTTTGTGTGAACTTTATTATACATATTTTGCCGTTTTCAATGTTCATATGGTTTTATTGTATGACAACCATTTATTGTATATCGTCATTTGTGAAGACGATAAGGATAGACTCTGCGATTGATGCTTGCTGCCAATGATAAGTATTGCACCATAAAGAAAACATTGACATGTGTTTTTATGTATTCCACGTAATGTTTATTATGATCCACTATGATTTCTGTGGTTTATTGACTGATCAATGTGATCATACATGGTTTCTGAGAATGATTTACATTGTGATTGTTACATGATTATCAAAACAGCTTTATAAACATACATTTTATGCTGTAATATAATATTGGGGTACTCCTGAGATATAATCGGATTAGTGTACTTGTGATATTACCACTACAATGCATGAGTCTGTTGATTTGTTACAGTTATGTTCACTGATACGCTTGTATTAATTGCCAGCTATACTACTGTACGTTATAGTTATTATTTGAAGATCTCACTATGAATTTCTTTTTTTTTTGTGATTTGTTTGAAACTTATTTTGGAGATATATTCCAACAGTATTGTCAACTTTATTGTTATTTCATTATTATTATTGTTTGAGTTTACTATATTTTATTCCATTTTTATTTGACATTATTTGTATCTTTTTAGTCACCAGGTGACGTCCCTTTTGCATGACTCAATAAAGTTTGACGAAACTAAGATTGGAATGAGTCCTGTGTTTATCTGTGTGTAACTGTGTAGCACCCTCTATATTGGATTCAGTATACTAACTCAGAGGAGGAATTACACATGACCTCCCTTTTCACCATGAAATATGCAATGAAGTGATAATAATATAGTGGATGAAAAAAAAAAATACTAAGAGTCTAGAAGTGGTTAACTTATGTGTTCTGAAAGTTATTTGTTATAAAAATATGAATGCTTAACAATACATATTATACTAAAATCATAATAGTAAATATCAATAAGCGAAATGTTATCGTCGAAATGAACAAACAGCTTACAGTGTTACCAGAAAACATCCCACAAAGAGCTTTCCTGAAACGAAAGGCACAACATGATCAGTCAACTACGTCCTACCATACCTATCTATGAGGTTGCTTGATAAGTGGAAAAGTCTGACATTGACAAGAATTGAATCCAGGACTCTTGGATTGGAAGGCAAACATATATCCACCAGGCTACACCAATTTCAACCAGCAAGTTACAGCTCCAGTTTATGGTGTCAAAATCATAACAGAACATACTGTACCTATCATTGAATTTAATAATAATTTTCAAACATCATGTATACCTACAATTGAAATCGTATAATTTAAACATGCCAAATCCTACCAAGTACTTGATCATCCAGAAATTCATCGTAAGAAAAAAAAAACCAAATTTACAGAATAAATCAAACAAGAACACAGAAATTTTCTGATGATAATTTCTGATGAATGACGGTTTCTTATGAACTGATGGATAATGATCATGATGATTTTTGGTGATGATTCTGATTTCTGATGATGGATGATGATTTCTAAACTGATGGATGGATGATGGCAATCATTTCTGATGGATGATGATGATGATTTTGGATGGATGATGATTCTGATTTCTCATGGATGGTGATGATGATGATGATGGATGGTAATTCTTATTTGATGATAATGATGATGACGATGATGGATGAAGATTCTGATTTCTTACGAATGATGATGATAATGGATGATGATTCTGAAATGATGGATGCGTGACTTAATTTGTGGGAGGTTTGTTTAAGTGGAAAGTGGACCCTTTGGAAACCATTATACAATACCGTAATATTGTTAGCTGGGAAAGAAATGCCGACTTGGAATACTTCTGGCTTGTATGATCTCTGATACTCTGGAGATCATTGTAAATATATAAAGAATATCAATTTTTCGTTTTTAAATGCGAACCTTCTCCAGTTTCTGGGCGGTTTGTCGTAACCCCCATTAACCCCCATGCTACAGGCCTGCATGATGATGATGATGATTCTGATTTCTGATGGATGATAATGATTTCTGATAGATGATGATTTTTGGATTTCAGTTTAGAAATCCATTCGTGCATTACGGAAAATAAGGGCAGATTTCTGCGCCGATTTCACCGAAATTAGTCTTTGACCTAATCTTAATATATATAAGCTGTGCATGCAGTTAATTCTCCGATCCGACGATGACGTCAGAGGTCAAATCCAACTTCCAGAATAACAATTGCAGGACAAAAATAAACAATCCCGCGATAGCGAACAGACAACGATTTTCACTTGCGTGATATCATCATTCATTTTGCTAGGATACTATTACATTCATTATCCCATTGTTTTTTTAAAAGAAATGTCGTTCAATGGCATATTCATATAACACCAGTAATCGTGATTGTGAAGCTAGAGAGTGATATAGAATGAAAATGAGGATATGTGGGCTAGGCCTAGAGGACTGCCCCTACAGGATACCTGGCGATGCATGGGTTAATGACCCAATACAGTGGCCTGAGTTGGAATGGCCAGAGATTTATTAACTACTGTACCTTATCAATTCTCCAGGTGTCTTCACTCGGGAAGCCATGAAAAGTAGGAAAAGCCTTGAAGCCCATAACCATTTCACAAGTGGTTGGGTGAGAACAGTTTTAACGTTTGAATCCCCATCATGTTCTTTACTACCAGTGGTGTTCATGAGAGCAGAGGTTAAACTATCACAACAGCTATAAAATGATGATCCGCATCTACCATGGATTGCCATTAACAAGGCAAATGATACTATCATTGCTGCTCATTGCACTTGTATGGCAGGGTTAGTTGACTCCTTATTTAGCCTATACAGCATTTATTCAAACATTTTTTTCTATATGGTTTGATAATGCTGATGCTTTGAATATGGTTTTTGACCTTCTGACAATA